AAGTATGAATTCAATTGAATTTTCCTGATACGGGCTAACAACTCAAAGAGATGCATTGCATTTCCAGTCCTGCAGACTATTATCTGCTGCCACTACTACAAACTTTCCCAAAAACAGAGGTATCAAAACTACACTGATCACCTACCAACTTCCATGACCCTATGAACCACACTTGCAAGTTTTTATTTGAGAGCCACACGTCACATCTTAAGAGCTCAAAGTTGTTCAGCTTGTTCCAGGGGCAACACGGTGTCTTTACCAGAAGGTCCCTGTAGATCATCAACAAAAGATGTATTAATTTAATAAAAAAAAACCCCAAAAAACGATAAAATCCACAACACTTGATAGGCCATATCTGGATAGGTCTGGTGTATACACTGCCTGTATCGCAAAACCTCACTCTGTCTTGAGGAATGTGAAAAGCTCTCATCAGCTAAAATTTTGCAATTCTCAGAATGGTGGAACTGAATCTACAATACGTGGAACAAGTATATGCCAACCAGTTAGGTTAGACAAAGACTGCAACCAAGAGTCCCACTGCCAAACTAGAGACCATATGGCACAATGAAAGCTGTATCATGAATTATCATTTCCTCCTTTAGTTGGAAAGGTTTCTAGACCAAAAATACCTGGGTTTTGATACATATTGTATCTGAACTCTTCCAAAGAAAAGCAAAAAGATGCTTTTAACTTGGATTGGGACACCTTATCATGCTTTTAGTATGCTTAATCCTGTAAGAGATCATTCCTGACAGAACAGCAACCTACTAACCAAAAAGAGAATGTTACTGCTAACAGAAGCGAAGAGCTTACTTTATCCACTAGCCATTCACAGGAAGTGCTACCAACAGTTTCCTTTACCTTTCAGGGACTTCTGTTGATTTGAGAATTCCTGTGCACTAACATATAAGTATGTATCTACATATTAGATTTATGTATATGCTCTCTCCTGCTATTTACACACATTTTTATTAGTATTAGCTATTAAACTTCTACCAAAAAGAAGCCAGTGCATGGGAGTAATTCTGCAAATATGCTTGGGGAATCTCTGTTTTAACCCCCACTTAGATTAACTGAAAACGACAACTTCAGGTTCTCACTTTCAAGAAATCTTTTTTTTACCTCCTGCAGAAGGTATGAATTTACATAGTAAATTGAAGCCTGGTGACAAAGCCTTTAGTCCTTACTTAAGTATGTTTTGTGGTCCACGGACTACTCAATCCACAAAGCAAATTAAACTCACTGAAATTACTATCTTCTACTAATATCAGCTTTCAAGTGTGTAAAGAATGGCAAACATCTTTGGTGTAAGCAGCTGCTTTCTGCTTACTGCAAAAATGGAAGTACAATACATTCCAGATATCTACCTTCCAGTTAAGCTCCACTGAGCACATCTGTTATCTATAGAGAAGGAAGGTTTGCTCAAGTCCTCTCTACCTAGTTATGCAGGAAACATAGGAAGAGCAAAGAGATGGGAAATCAGATTATTATTCAACTAGCATCAATGTTTCACTTCTGCAGTCCCTGTTCTACCTGGAGCTTGTCTTGCAGTTCAGGTATAACTGCCCTTCCTTGCCAATTAAGCTTTCTTATTACTATCTAACTAGAACATATTTACTCATATTCAAGTTTGCAAACATGCTTTCAAGAACATTACAGAAAGATGCTTTACTTAAGATTCAGCTTTTCAGAGTACTGCGATACAGTTTTTGTATCTACATTCACTTGCTGTCCAGATGAACAGTATCTGTGATATTTTACCATGAGCTGTTTAAAACTATTCCAGAGTACAGATTCAAGTAAACAAGAATCTGGAGAGTAGACTCCACTGTAATTATTACACAGAAATCAGAACATCAAGCAACAAGACTGGGTAATAGTGTTTATGCTAGTCTGCAGTTTCCATCACGCTTGGTTCTAGTACTGATTTGTAGCTTCAGAGGTTGCTGAAAAGGGCAAGGAAAGTCCGAATAGTGCAGCCAGTTATTCAACTGTGAAAATACAAAAGATGCACTTCTCCACCTGGAGCAAAACAGAACTCCAGGCTCAACACCTGCAGCAAGGGAAAGTGTTCTGCTCATCTACCAGACAAATAGAGGTAATGCTAGAAAGCAGTGCAGGAGCATGGCAAATTGGCCATTTCTTTCACACACTTCAGAAATAATTCACCTTCACAGCCAGTCACAGGGAGTAAAGGACAGCTACAATTCCTTACCACAATGCTGACCAGCACATAAAATTGAAGGTTTATGATCAGTCCCTTCTTCATCCCTCCTACTGCTGACATTACTACAGGCTTTCACAACTTTTGCAAGTCATGGTGTTTCCGTAAAACAATACAATGCAGTATCCGTGAGGCCTATGTATTTTTGTAAATCCAGCCCTGATCCACTGCTTCTCAACTTTCTAAAGTAATGATAGCAGCTCCCCTACATCAGGCTGTCAGTCTGGGATGACAGCTATGGAAGTTTACACCAGACATCAAATGGAAGCGAATGGCTTTACTGCACTTGTGTCAAATTTGTGAAGTGACACAAATTTTCAAAGAGTTGTTGTAGTTCTCACCAATGCCACTGCTTAGATTATCACTGTATTTGCCTTTGTCTCTTCTTTTATACCAATTCTTGAGAGTTGGATCATCTTTGCAATTTATTCCCAACAACAATTCTCAGTTGCTTTCTTCACTTGTTCTACTTCCTTCCCTAGCACTCTGAATGGAACAGGACCACTAGAAGCTTAGTAAACATATTTTGTTACTCATCTCTACTTCCATTCTGTAAAATTCACATTTCCAGATTTGAAGGCTAAATACAGCAACACTTCCAAAGTTAGTTAGCTATCTGTCTGCAGCTGCAGCTTCCTAAGGCAACTCCCTGCTGAGTAAAAACCATCTAGAGTTCTAGAAACTTACAAAGAAGAAAAAAAAAGACAAAAGACTAAACAACAGGGGCAAGTCATATAAAGATATTCCATGTCACACTCCATTTACAATGATTATTTTAATAATGGAACTAGGCTAAACAGAAAAGGGTTCCATCATATAAAATGGAAAGCTTTTACCTTCTATTTACAAAAACAGTTTCCTGACAATGCACGGCAAACATAAAAATAAGCTTTCCAAAACCTGCCTGGGAATTAGGCTATGAAGTTAATGATTGATACAAGCCTAGGAAAAAAAGCTTTTAGCATTTTAATACTTTTTAAAACTTTAAGATGTGTACAGTAGGACATTTAAGATAAAGAACAAAGATTCATCTTAGAGGCAAGTATAAAGTTTTGAGTACAATGCATCCTCCTGATAGTTACTTTTAATGAAGTTGCTGGGAACTTCTTACGTTTAGCTGGTTTAGGCTTACAAATTGCTACAGCTTTTAAACAAGTTTGACATACTGGTATTTATGGGCAGTCACAGTTAAATATAAAGTAGTTTTTCCAAATAATCTTTAGCAAGATGGCTTGTTTCAAGTAGTAAGAAAATTCACACACAAAACCATCAGTCTTGTCCCTGGTAGGTTCATGTTTGCTGGAGGTCTTACAGTTCAGAAGACTAGTCTCTCTCACATCATTTTATTTGCTCATGTTTCTCATCTGACAAGTTTTGTTGGGATTTTTTTGTTTGTTTGTTTGTTTTTAAAGTAACCAGGAGTATTTTGCCTCTTACTAGAAGAAACTCCAAATTTGTTTGCTAATCAAAACAGTATCAACTTCACTGAAAGCAGAAATCTTCAAAAATTATTATGTATTAGAGCTTTCAAATTATTCACAAGATTGAAAGCTTACCATCTTTCTAGGACATTCCTTTTGTATAACAGGAAGCCTGACATAAAAATACACAAAAGTGATTAAAGTTTCTTTGGTTTTACTGTTCATTTATTTCTTGTAATGTGCACCTGAAGTCACCTAAACTCTTCCCCTCTTCCCCTTCTTCCCACTCCATCATACACCGTGCTTAATGGACAGCACACACTGACTGATTAGGTGGCAATTAATTCTTCTTCCATTTCTTCACTTGAGGCAATAATTTAGATCTCTCTCTAAACAACTGGAAGTTTCCATAAAGTCCACAGAACACAGTTTTCTTCATGACCCTCTGACTAACAGAATCAGCTTACCAGTTTAACAGGCTGCAATCAGAGACACAGATAGGTAGACTAAGAGCACAGTCAAAACGACCTCTTAGCTAAAGCCACTTTTTATTTGCAAGCTTACTTTGCCTTCTTAAACCTTCAGTATTCTTCATATTTCCAGGTTTAGAAATCTAAACTTCTTAGTGCAGGAAGGACTTTCTGAACTTAGCATTGTTCTAGAAATAGAACTTAATTCCACCACTACAAATTGGCTGTCATCCTGCATGGATACAGGGAAGTCCTAATCAGGCTCTTCCAAACATGAACACTCTGCATATGCTAGAAGACTAGCATTCAACACTAGAGGACTGATTTTTTTTTTAAATTAAAAATCTGGAAAACTGTACTTTCACTTCAGAAAATACAAAGTTAACACTTTCAATTATACTGCTCTGACAGCTCTAAAGAGGGAAGAATCATGAAATACTCTCTATCAAAAACTAAAATGAATAGCCCACTGCTCCGCCATTAGAGATAGTCTAATTAGGGTTTTATACAACACATATTACCCTTGTGTGCCTTGCACTTTATAGACAGTAGCTTTATTTTAACATTGTAATCCAATGTTTCAAATTTTGATACTTCAGACTTTTTTTTCCCCTCAAAAGAGTAATATTATTCTCTTGGATGCTGATGCAGTTTTAATACTATTTAAGCTTTATTATGTAAGGCATATGCAAGAACATTACAATTCTTAGTTGAAGCAATGTTAATATAATAAGCAGATTAAGCACCTATAAGAAAGCACATCTAGTCCTCCTAACTATGGTCTTCTTGCTAACCAGGAAGCTTTGGACTCAAGTTCAAATACAAACATTCTCTTAATAAAAGAGAATGTATAGCCAAGAATAAGTAAAATGAGCAAGTACTTACCTTGACTCTCCACTACTGTTTCTTACACTTTCTTCATCGCTGTGCCCATTCATTGTAAATATTAAGAAGTTTAAAAATATAAATAGAAGTCCACTCAGGTTACAAGGTGGATATCAAGAATCCACTTCTTGGTACTCTGTGTGTTTTCCAGGTGATGTGTTTGCTCTGGTGTTCTCTGTGGGTATTCAAGATTTTGCCCAAAATACCTAAAATAGTAAAGGAAAACATTTACACAATTTGAAAGTGTGTTTGCAACTAAAAAGATACCAAAAATAACTTGGTCTTCTGCTAACACTGAAAGGGGGCATCATGTTTGACATTATGTTTTTAACTGAAAAATAGCTTTTCATGTGTTACCCATTCATGGTCGATCATTTTATCACTATTTTCTTATCTGGAAAAAAAATTAAAATCTCTGAAAACCAGAAAAAAAAAATCTTCAAGAGAAGAACAGGTCTTTTTATTAGTTACATTTAAAAATATTGCAAGAACTAAATAAAATACACAAACGCATGAAAGGAAAGACCTGCCTAGCTTTTTGCTTGACTGCAGTTGAGTCCCAGCATATAGACATGTTTCTTTACGCAACTTTTCATTGATGGTGCTATAAAAATGGCAATTTCTGCTGACCGCCTAACTG